GGGGGGGCATGCAGTGTAGGTTGTTTTATTATTTATTTATTTTTGTTCGGGTGGAAGGGGATAGGGGAGGGGCGAAAATGGGGAGGGAAGAGCTGCTTGCTGATTAACTTGAATGCGAAGTTGTTAAGTGGCTTTTTGTATACCGGATTTTTCTTTTTCAGATTGTTGTTGCTGCACTGCCATAATTGATTTCGAGTGTGCAGTGTAAACTAGATTGATCACACAAACAAATAGCTCTAAGCACTGTAAGCTGTTAGTTTGAGCTCTGACCTTTTGTGGTAGACGTTCTGATGCCCCAGTGTCATTTTGATCGGAAGTGTGTTGTTTTGAAAAGGCTAAGGGCCGCTAATTCAACAGAATTGGCAGTCTTTTTAGTGCTTTGGAATAGATATCTATTAACAAGTTTCTTTACCGTAAGACAAATGCTTCAACAGACATTGTATATATATATAATTTTTGTATTTAGTTTTATTCCTCATTTTTAAATCCTACAGTATTAACTCAGATCATCTTTGTTCTCCTTTCCGAACTTAGCTCAGCCCCTCGATGTAGACCCATAGAACTTAACTTCGACCCCTCATTGTTGGTCCTGTAAGAACTAAGCTCCGACCCTTTTCGCTGCCTCCAAGACCTCAAATCTTGACTTAGCTTCGACCCTCGTTGTGCACCTTTAGACCTCGTATCTTGACTTTACTCGACCCCTGGATCGTTATTGACCCTTTAAAGTTTCACTGCGATTCCTCGTTTCTAATCCTTTAGAACACCATTCAGTTTGCTCAATAGACACGTTTCAGTGACCAGTGACATTTAAATACTGTTTGAACAGTCAGTGCATGGACTATCTGTTCGGTGTTTCGGTTTAAAGAACATATGTTCGACGAGAATTTCTGTAATAGTTGGAATATGATTATAATATTTATAATGTGTGTAAACTCTGAACAGCAGGGGAGCTTATTATATCTTTGTGTATATCATAATCAAATTATTATTCATGTTCTGATTTCAGAATTTTGTTGATTTTTGCTTTTGTGTAATGTTATTAGACTACAAGCATCATGTTAAGGATCCGATGAGATTCGGGGTTATAAACCTGTTCAATTTTGCAGACACACACACACA